ATGCCCATTTGAAGGCATACAATATACAGGTGGCACAGAAGACTGCGATAAAGCAAGTAAATGAGGAAGAAAAACCAGGTCAAGGCACAGAAGTACACACAATGTGATGAAATCAAATACTAAAATGCAAATAAAACCATAATGGGCAAGGACAAATGTGACTCAAAGCAGAGGAAATGAATGAGATAGAGAAGAGTGGGAGGGAGGGCAGGATGGAGATAAAGAAGAGAGAGAGGGAGAGTGGAGGAATGAAAGTGCGACAGTGATCACTCTGAGGCACAGTGCCAACATGATGAGGATGGTGAGTAAGCAGCAGCCACGTTGATGGAAGATGCTAAAGTAAGTGGAAGTCAAGCAAGGCAATTTTCCTCTACACGATGCCAACAGCACATAAATATGTCAAGATTATTAGATATTGATATAAATAGAGAGAGAGAGAAGAGAGAGAGAGAGAGAGAGAGAGAGAGAGAGAGAGAGAGAGAGAGAGAAGAGAGAGAGAGAGAGAGAGAGAGAGAGAGAGAGAGAGAGAGAGAGAGAGAGAGAGAAATATCTTTATAAAAAAGAAACAAGTTATTAAACACCCATGCTGGTAATTAGAAATGTGTGACTTATCAAGAATAAGAATTTTATTTTATGAAGCATGAAACATGTTTGTACAATGGAGTATAACAATTGGGTGTATATGCCAAAAGCCCCTTTATATGCAGAGCACTGAGGGCGAACTTAGGACTAACTTAAGATTAATAAGGCAATAACAGTGCAGTAAATTTGTACATATGGTCATTAGGTGAGTTTACAATGAATACCAGAGAACTGAATATTCTATTAGTTTATGGTATATGGTTTTTAATAGGTTTGGTAGAGAGGAATTACAATTTTGATTACTAACCTAAGGCGGACCACAATGGAATGATTATCATATGAGAAGATTACAGTATTATTATAATAAAAACAAAGCGCTAAACCTACTAGGGTCATACTGAGAAGATTACAGATATTGAGAGTAAGAATATATTGAATAAGTATATATCAAGGTCTCACCAGGTTTCAAGTCAAAACAGAATCCTCGCACCAACCCATCCACTTCCCAGCCACAACCTTAAACCTGACTTAAGTTACACGTACATCAACCCAAGAAAATAATGGAAGATAAGCAAAATCTAGATAGTCTCTGAGATCCGCATATGGTGACAGCGACAGGTCGCGATCCTCCCCTCCCCCTCCTCCTCATGGAGACGCTGAAGCAGCGACAGGTCGCGATCCCCCCCCTCCCCCCCTCATGGAGACGCTGAAGCAGCGACAGGTCGCGATCCACCCCCTCCTCCCCCTCATGGAGATGCTGAAGCAGCGACAGGTCGCGATCCACCCCCTCCTCCCCCTCATGGAGACGCTGAAGCAGCGACAGGTCGCGATCCACCCCCTCCTCCCCCTCATGGAGACGCTGAAGCAGCGACAGGTCGCGATCCACCCCCCTCCTCCCCCCTCATGGAGATGCTGAAGCAGCGACAGGTCGCGATCCACCCCCTTCTCCCCCTCATGGAGACGCTGAAGTAGCGACAGGTCGCGATCCACCCCCCCCTCCCCCCTCATGGAGATGCTGAAGCAGCGACAGGTCGCGATCCACCCCCCTCATGGAGATGCTGAAGCAGCGACAGGTCGCTATCCACCCCCTCCTCCCCCTCATGGAGATGCTGAAGCAGCAACAGGTCGCGATCCACCCCCTCCTCCCCCTCATGGAGACGCTGAAGCAGCGACAGGTCGCGATCCACCCCCTCCTCCCCCTCATGGAGAACGCTGAAGCAGCGACAGGTCGCGATCCACCCCCTCCTCCCCCCTCATGGAGACGCTGAAGCAGCGACAGGTCGCGATCCACCCCCTCCTCCCCCTCATGGAGACGCTGAAGCAGCGACAGGTCGCGATCCACCCCCTCCTCCCCCTCATGGAGACGCTGAAGCAGCGACAGGTCGCGACTCCCCAACCAGTGCAGATAAGATAACCTTCATTCAGGAAATTTATTATTATTATAATTATTATTATAGTCATGGGAAGCGCTATACTCGCATGGGACGCACAGCACTTTAGTAATAGGTAATTAAATTTAAGGGTATCTGAAATTCCTTGAACCAAGTGCCTTTCACCAGCCTCCAGGCACCTCCTCCCCCCTTAGAAGGGTCTGCATGTCATAACAATCCTTTCAGGGGAGGTTCCTTGATGCCGGTAAGGGGTCTCTTGATCTAAGGACTGAACCTGTACTCCCCTTCCTTGCATCAAACATGAATGCTTCCTATTCCCCCAGGCGTTGTATGACTCCTACGGGTTTAGCGCTCTCCTATGAATAATAATAATAACAGCAATAATGACACAAAAATTTAATTTCCCCCGTGTGGGGTGGGATATGAGAGATGGTAATTCCCAAGTGATAGTAACTCCAGCTCTGCTGGAATGAAACCTTTCAAGTTGCCTTAGCTGACAGATAAGATAAACTTTTGTTCCCACTATGTATCATATAAAATTGGGTAGCATCAGACTAATGATGTACACAATTTAACTAAATAAAAAATATAAAACGTGGTATAGGGCGAAGGACTTAGATAAGGGGTAAGGGGCTGAGATAAGGGGGTGGTGTTGTGGTGAGCCGACCATTGACACTAACTACAGCAGCAGCAGCAGGAACACTTCGTTACCTCCCACAGTGCAATGGTCAGTGTTGGACCTTCCTCCTTCATTGTCTCCTCTATCTACTTCCTTCACTCCCCCCATCTCTTCCGTCTCCTTTTCTTCCTTTCTTCCCCCCTACCTTTGTTCTCTGTCTCCTTTCCCGCCTCTTTATACAAGAAAAAGAGCGGTCTTCGGTTGCTCCAATCACTCGGTTACTTCCAGCACTTGAGTCCTACCTAAAAAACAAACACCAAGAATACCATAAGACATAACAAATTATTTAAGTAGTGCTCAAAAGAAAGGCTTTCGTATCTCATTTGTCTGGATACCTTCCCACTGAGGAATCAGCTATCACGAAGATCCTGATAAAGAAACTGGCTCTGCTGGTGACAAACCGGAGGTAGAGTTAGAACTGGCTATCTCTTTTTCCACTGTTAAACCCAGCCTGCTGAAGAAGCTGTGGTACAGAGAAACAAAGATACCCAAAGACCTGCGAGGAATAGTGTCAGGTACTATGATCTGCTCCCATCAGAAAGTCACTTGTGGGCAGCATAAAACGTCCACTAAATATGTGACACTGCGACTGCCAGAATTAGGATGGAACTCTGTCACCCGTGACACATAATGCAATTACCACAGGTGAGCCTCCCAACTCTTCCTATTCCACATGTGAGCTGTAAAAGAGGAAGCATTCGACCTTCACCTTTCAGTCTCCAGTTGTCAGTGACTTTTAAAGCCTGGTGGAATGAGGTATCTGGAACTGTGTAAATACTTCACCTTCTCTGAGGTTCTTAAGGATATTCTCGTTGTCCATTCTCAATGTCAGCACTAGTTACTAGCTCACTGACGCCTTACTTGTATGTGAATGTATACTTTACAAATTATATGTAAATATGTAAACCATACCCTATATATATATATATATATATATATATATATATATATATATATATATATATATATATATATATATATATATATATATATATACATATATATATATATATATATATTGCTTGTAAGGCAGGCTGCCCAGCCGAGTGGTGCAGAGCGTCACTTGGGGAACCTTGCCAGTACCCTGTAGTGGCTTCGAATCTTGCTGACTGCGAACACTCCGTCTCTCTCTCTCTCTCATATATATATATATATATATATATATATATATATATATATATATATATATATATATATATATATATATATATATATATATATATATATATATATATATATATATATATATATATATATATATATCAGTGTTCTATAAGTCGTTATCATGTCTATCCCTCCTATCCTCCAGTATCGTCAGGTGTGTGTGTGTGTGATTCAACAACTCCATAGCATCTTAATACAGATGATATCTTCTACAAATCCACTAACATCTGGCCCACCTCATGAGCATGACCTACTGCTACCAGTTGGTCCCACCTACCTGTGATGATGTCTTCGACTGCTGCACCTCGAGCCTTTGTACTAGCTTCACCAAAGCTATGGGACAAACAACTTGAATTTACATACACACCAAACAATCCCCATCCACGCTGTGACCTCTACTACTTCTTCATCACTATCTGGAGTCTACCTGGAGGGTATTCCGGGGATCAACGCCCCCGCTGCCCTGTCCATGACCAGGCCTCCCGGTGGATTAGGGCCTGATCAACCAGGCTATTACTGCTGGCCGCACGTAGTCCAACATACGAACCACAACCCGGCTGATCCGGCACCGACTTTAAGTATCTGTCCAGCTCCCTCTTGAAGGTAGCCAGGGGCCTATTGGTAATTCTCCACATGGCTGGTGGGAGGCTGTTGAACGTCTTGGGCCCCGGACACTTACGATGTTTTCTCTTAGTGTACCAATGGCGCCCCTACTTTTCATTGAGGCATTCTGCACAGCCTGCCCAGTCTTTTACTTTCGTAGGGAGTGATTTTTGTGAGAAGATTCGGGACCATTGCTTCTAGGATTTTCCAAGTGTAGATTATGATACATCTCTCTCGCCTGCGTTCCAGTGAGTACAAGTCAAGTGCTTCCAAGCGTTCCCAGTAGTTGAGGTGCTTGACAGAACTTATATATGCAATAAAGGTTCTCTGTACACTCTCTAGATCTGCAATTTCACCTGCTTTGAACGGAGATGTTAATGTACAATAATATTCCAGCCTAGAGAGAACAAGTTATTTGAAAAGCATCATCATTGGCTTGGCATCTCTTGTTTTGAACGTATCTCACACCTCTGTTTGTATGATACTGATGAAGCCTGCTGTATGTTATGATACAACTCAGTGAGAATAAAACACACAATATGTGAGTGTCTATGATCATTCTTTGAAATATTACTACTCACTGAAAATGATGGCAACGAAGAGAGCAGTGGTGAGCCCAGCGATACCATAGAACATGACGGAGAGCCAGTATCCAATTACATCCATGTCATCAACGTCTGGCACGATGGCTGGTGGCAGCAGGAACCCCAGTGCTACTCCCAGCTGCAAAACACAATATCACATATATATAAACACGATGGTGGGTAGCAGCAGGAACCCCAAGTGGCATTCCCTTGTGCAATACACATAAATGTAAACAAAATGTCTGATGGTATTAGTAACTTGTCCTAAGCCCGGAAATACTGGGAGACCTTGACTACATGGACCCGGCACCAAGAGTTTCTTAAGTATGCGCAAAAACTGAAAAAAAGTATTTTGCAACTTGATCACCTTAAGTTCATTAGCTAGGCTAGCTAGTAATGACCTATTGTCTTTATTTTATAACCTTAGGATAGCAAATACCTGCTTAGTCTATGTTAGGCTATCACTACCACCCTTACGTACCTCCCTGGCCATAACAATTACCACCTAACATTAGGGAGAATTTAGAAACGTCTATGATAGATATAATTTTTTCAATTCATGTTAAACATGATGAATAAGATACCTTATATACTTTACCATGAACCAGATGCGACCCCTCACCAGGGGTCAGGACCACCCCTGCGGAGGATAGTATCACCTATGATATCATTAAACCAATCAGGCGTGTACCTGGCAACCCACTGTTAAAATTATACAATGTATACGAGGTACACTATTCGTGGATCAATACCATTATTATACTGATAACTTAACCTAGCCAACATCTTTTTTTTTTTCACCCCGTCTCACTGACTAGCTACCTGTGTAAAATATTTGAGAGGCTACAACTTCAAAGGCTACCTCAGAGAATAAAACACATAGCAAAAGGGTATAAAACTGTCGCAACAAATCACAGTGTGGGACTCGACCTGTCTGCCATCGTGTTATTACGATTTCGTGAGTCATGCGTCACAACATTTTCAACTATACACAAAAAGGCACAAGTACACTAAACTTCTCGATATTAAAATTGCTTTCGATGTTTCAAACAGCGAGGTTATTTTGTATGAACTAGTTAGAATAAATCACTGTTTGGTACCGACAAGACACTCTTACCTGGTTACCGAAGACGCCGATGGCACATGCCGTTGATACCTGGTCGTGGCCGAACCAGACGGCGGCCAGCCTCGGGGGGATGCCCAGGATGAAGATCTGTGACACAGCTGTGATACACTGACCCAGGAAGGTCACCCAGAACCTGTCAGTGGACACTGAGCCCACCTTCACCCACGACCCAATCATTGTTCCACATGACCCGATCAACACAGCCATGCGCAAACCCTGTGTAGGAGATTGTTAGTGGAAAAAAGGATTATTATTATTATTATTATTATTATTATTATTATTATTATTTGAAGCCCTAAACCAGTCACTGCGAATGTTCCCACGATGAAACTATCATTTAGAATAATATCAGCACACTGCGGGTGTTCTCGTAATGTAATAATTATTTAGTGTTCCACTGATGTTTTTTCATCATAATCATTATCAGATAAACAACACTGTATGGATAACTCTCACCGAATGCTATTATTTTATGTATAAAAACATACGAAAAAACAGAACACATTTCACTGTCATCATTGGTAAGCAACCTGAGTGAAATTTGAGGTATACCTGGAGGGTGTTCCGGGGGGTCAACACCCCCCCCACCTGTGGCCCAGTCCTTGTCCAGGCCTCGAGGTGCATCAGGGCCTGATCAACCAGGCTGTTACTGCTAGTCGCACGTAAGGCAGCCAGGAATGACTGGTCAACCTAAATCTAACTCGAGACAGCTTACACACAATGAAAAGTTAATGAGTATGAAATGATTTATTGTCCGAATTTCACAAGAAGATACAATTAAAATTTTAGAAATTCATAATTATAGAAGATTGAAGAGCAGACTTCCATGAAGATCACAAGTCATTTAAGACATGGTTCTCACACATGGTTCTCACATATAGTTCTTAAAAGAATCACGTCAACGAGACCAGACGGACTGTTCTGAAAGTTCTTAAGGAATGCAAACAGGAACCTAGTAAACCATTCAATGTCGTGGCCTCTTGAGAATGTCATTGTTAATGGGTATCACGCGGGAGATGTGGAAAATAATCCACATTATACTAATTATATAATGGGAGATAGGTCATCAGCTTTTAATTATATGCTAATCAACCTTGACCACGGTGCTCAAATTACTGGAATCACTTACATGATACAATTATTTATCACTCGAGAATTATGTGTTGGAGTGTCAACAAGGTTTCACGAGGCAGCGGACCATAATAAACACAATGACTTTGTTTATATGAACTTTAGTATAGTTCTTGATAGAATTCCACATGAAAACGACAAAGAAAGTAACGACTCGTGATACTGAGGAAGATGTCTGTTGGACAGAGGAATATCTGAATAATAGACCATAGATCTGGTCACTGCTAAAGAGGCCCTTCAACCACTCATTCCCACTTACGTACTAATTGTGACCATATTAAAGCTGACCAAAGTATTCAGCTTTTTCACTCATGCACAACTCTATTGCAAATGCAGTATCACACAAATATTTAGTACTACGTCTCACTAGAGAGCATAAGTTGATTGTTTTAACCTGTCATCGTACTCAAGATTTTTGACACATGGGATTAACTTTGTCATCCTTCTGTGTGTGTAAACCAAAGAATTTATTTGTTATCTAATATGGAAACCAGAACTGTACCGCATAATCAAAATGTGGCCTTACCAATGACAGTACTGTGTTGCACTTTATATACTGCAACATGATTAGCTATTTATTCTAAAAACTTTCATGTGAGTGACTTTTTCATCATTTATTGAAATAATTAAACTACTGGCTGCCACATCAGTTTACGTTCTTTTAAATAAATGTATTTACACTTGGCAGACACAATGGCTAAACTCACAAAGGTGTTTGTGGGGTCATATATGGTTAGGTTAGGAAACAATCATTCTGTGCTGCCATATAACCTCGTCAAACAACTTAGTAAAAAGTCAATAAATTCCTTAGGCAATAGCGACCTATTCTGTATCTGTGTTGAATCGTTAATCAAATAATTTCCATGTATGTGACTTCAAATTATAACCACTGTTATTACCTTCCCACTGCTGTGGTCAGGCTGATGGGTAGGTAATTAGAGGCTAAACACCTATATCCTTTACTTATAATTAGGCATCACAGTAGCGAGTTTCCACGTCTCCTGCATGATACCACTTTGTAATGATCCATTAAATTACAATAATCTTCATAAGGAAGTGCTAAATCCAAGGGGAAGGGGGGGGGGTCACAAGGCCCGGGGAATGATAGACAACCAGATGTAATCCAAGGAACACAGGGCATTTAAGATAACATTTTCTTTGGATTTTTAACCCCGGAGGGTTAGCCACCCAGGATAACCCAAGAAAGTCAGTGCGTCATTGAGGACTAACTTATTTCCACTGGAGTCCTTAACCTTGTCCCCCAGGATGCGACCCACACCCAGGTACCTATATGCTGCTAGGTGAGCAGGACAACAGGTGTAAAGAAACGCGTGGAAATGTTTCCACACGCTGGGAATCGAACCCCCGGGCCACCAGACCCCCGGGCCACCAGACCCCAGGGCCACCAGACCCCCGGGCCACCAGACCCCCGGGCCACCACTTATGTGTAGCTCAGGATAATTATTACAGGAAACATTTCACCACGAGTATCTTCTTCAGTCCTAAAACACAGATAACTAACAAACGAGTATACCTGGAAAGGGTTTCGGGGGTCAACGCCCCCGCGGCCCGGTCTGTGACCGGGCCTCCTGGTGGATAAGGATCTGATCAACTAGGCTGTTACTGCTGGCCGCAGGCAGAGCGACGTACGAGGGCAAGAAGTCACTGAAGTGTACATGTCTTTTTCCACATCTTATCGATATATCACCACACCGACAAGATGTGGAATGGACTACTGACCGCCTGGACCAACAGTCCATCACAGGAGGTCACCCTTAGGAAGGTCCCACCACAGACTTACTGTTTAATAAAGTGACCTATCTTATAACCAAGGTAGAGGCCAGGTTGATCTCTCTATGTTATAACCAAGGTAGAGGCCAGGTTGACCTCTCTATGTTATAACCAAGGTACAGGCCAGGTTGACCTCTCTATGTTATAACCAAGGTAGAGGCCAGGTTGACCTTCTATGTTAATAACCAAGGTAGAGACCAGGTTGACCTCTCTATGTTATAACCAAGGTAGAGGCCAGGTTGACCTCTCTATGTTATAACCAAGGTAGAGGCCAGTTTGACCTCTCTATATTATAACCAAGGTAGAGGCCAGGTTGACCTCTCTATGTTATAACCAAGGTAGAGGCCAGGTTGACCTCTCTATGTTATAACCAAGGTAGAAGCCAGGTTGACCTCTCTATGTTATAACCAAGGTAGAGGTCAGGTTGACCTCTCTATGTTATAACCAAGGTAGAGGCCAGGTTGACCTCTATGTTATAACCAAGGTAGAGACCAGGTTGACCTCTCTGTTATAACCAAGGTAGAGGCCAGGTTGACCTCTCTATGTTATAACCAAGGTAGAGGCCAGGTTGACCTCTCTGTTATAACCAAGGTAGAGGCCAGGTTGACCTCTCAATGTTATAACCAAGGTAGAGGCCAGGTTGACCTCTCTATGTTATAACCAAGGTAGAAGTCGGGTTTGGGAACCTCTCAATTTTATAACCAAGGTAGAGGGCCAGGTTGACCTCTCTATGTTATAACCAAGGTAGAGGCCAGGTTGACTCTCTATTAATAAACCAAGGTAGAGGCCAGGTTGACCTCTCTATGTTAAAACCCAAGGAAAGAGGTCAGGTTGACCTCTCTATGTTATAACCAAGGTGGGAGGTCGGGGTTGCCCTCTCTATGTTATAACCAAGGTAGAGGCCAGGTTGACCTCTCTATGTTATAACCAAGGTAGAGGCCAGGTTGACCTCTCTATGTTATAACCAAGGTAGAGGTCAGGTTGACCTCTATGTTATAACCAAGGTAGAGGTCAGGTTGACCTCTCTATGTTATAACCAAGGTAGAGGTCAGGTTGACCTCTCATGCTACACTCAGAATTATCAACAAAAAGCATAAATTACACTTAATAAAAGGTCAAGAAATGATAATTAAAGGTCAACGTTGGAAAGTAATTAATATTGTGAAACATATTCGAAGGTCAGAGGAGATGAAAGAGAGTGCGATAGTGAGAGAGAGAGAGAGAGAGAGAGAGAGAGAGAGAGAGAGAGGAGAGAGGAGAGAGAGTTATTGATCCATCGTATAATGATTCCACTTTCCCTTTTACCCCCCTCACCCGACCTCTACCTTCCCCCCACCCAACCCCCACTTTCCCCTCACCCGACCTCTACCTTCCCCTCACCCAAACCCCCACTTTCCCCTCACCCGACCTCTACCTTCCCCTCACCCAACCTCCACTTTCCCCTCACCCGACCTCTACCTTCCCCTCACCCAACCTCCACTTTCCCCTCACCCGACCTCTACCTTCCCTCACCCCAAACCCCCACTTTCCCCTCACCCGACCTCTACCTTCCCCCCACCCAACCCCCACTTTCCCCCCACCCGACCTCTACCTTCCCTCACCCAACCTCCACTTTCCCCTCACCCGACCTCTACCTTCCCCTCACCCAACCTCCACTTTCCCCTCACCCGACCTCTACCTTCCCCCCACCCCAAACCCCCACTTTCCCCTAACCCCACCTCTACCTTCCCCTCACACACCTCCACTTTCCCCTCACCCCACCTTTACCTTCCCCTCACCCCACCTCCCCTTTCCCTCACCCCACCTCTACCTTCCCTCACCCAACCTCCACTTTCCCTCACCCGACCTTTACCTTCCCTCACCCGACCTCCACTTTCCCCTCACCCGACCTCTACCCTTCCCTCACCCGACCCCACTTTCCCCTCACCCGACCTCTACCTTCCCCTCACCCAACCTCCCTTTCCCCTCACCCGACCTCTACCTTCCCCTCACCCAACCTCCACTTTCCCTCAACCCCCGGGCCCCCTTTCACCTCAACCGGCCTCCACTTTCCCTCACCCCAAACCCCTACCTTCCCTCACCCGACCTCCACTTTCCCCTCACCCGACCTCCACTTTCCCCTCACCCGACCTCCACTTTCCCCCCACCCGAAACCTCTAAACCCTTTCCCCCCACCCAACCTCCCTTTCCCCCCACCCGACCTTACCTTCCCCTCACCCAACCTCCACTTTCCCCTCACCCGGCCTTTCCACTTTCACCTCACCCGGCCTCCCCTTTCCCCTCACCCGACCCTT